ACTGCTACCTTCAGAGGTCCGGAAGAGGCTATCCTTCAAGCAGGAGGATGAGAAAAAGGTTCCAAAGGTTCCAAAGAAGCCGGCTACCCTTCCAGAGGTTCCAAAGAAGCCACGGCCTCCACAGGTCCTGAAGAAGCCATCCTTCCATGAAAACGGGAAGAAGAGCGAAACAAAGCCAAAGAAAAAAGGCAAGGCAGAGATTGTCTCGGATGAAATGCATGGTGAGTGGAGGAAACAAGTGTTTAAGAGAAGCACATCGGGGACACCTTTTGCAAAGTTCACCGGCCCAAACGGCCAAGTGTATTGGACATTCAAAGCAGCAAAAGACGCTGGATACTCTGCTCCACAGTGGGGGCAGCAGAGAGCGGATGGAAAATGATGCGAAAATGAATGGATGATGTCATGACGTCTTGCAAACCAAGACAACCTGAAAGGACCAAGGTTCATGAAAGGACTAAGTTTGATGAAACTTCCTTATATATATATATCATGTATTTAAGTCTCTGTTAGTGACCTTTTACAGCCCTGTTTGTGACCGAACATCCTCTGATATCAAGGACAGTCACGAACTGAAGATTGACACTTTGAGGAGAAGCGCCCGGTATTGGAGGGCCAGACTCAGTCGTTTCTTTCGATTCGATTAGGTTTTCGATCTCCACACCCTCTAGGGATCCACGTTACTTGGACCCTCCTGGCGCCTACAGGTGTCGAACACAGAACACCCTCTCAAAGGGTGCTGGATCCAACATGGACTTAACTCGTTGTTATGCGCCTCAGATTCGATGAGCTCCTTGAAGTCCGTCCCAAAGCGCGAGATCAACGTCTCCTGGAACCAGCTGACCCCCGAGGCTCGAACCCACCAGATCCCCGTTCCCTCGAGCGATCGCTGAAGAGCGGAGCTCGGCGCACGGGGCCACGTGGGTCACGGGGGGACGGCACCACAGTCCATTCCCGAAGTGGTCTGATCCAGGTCCAAACCTGATCGAACTGAACATGGAGTAGTGTTCCAAATCATGATCAGTAGGTCGAACTGAACATGATCACGAATTCGGTCGAACTGAACATGGAGTGTTCCGAATCATGATCAGTGGTTTTGGGGGTGTTTGGGGGGTATACTGCCATACCCAGACACGACTAATGGGACTGGTATGGGGTCAATGTAGGCACATGAGAAAGTTGGAGTGTCTGGGATATGGGGACCCATGCGGTCCTCTGCGGACCCAGTGCTTTTTTGTGGTTGTTATGTGGGACTGGCAGGGCAGCAGTGGTTGTTATGTGGGACTAACTCACAGTCCCTTCATACTTCCCTGAACTATACAAGGCGGGTGATCATGTCCCTTGATGTCTTATGATTTCTATTTCTTCACAAAGGTCTCTGCACATCCAGCCTGGTCTTGCGTCTCGCGTTGAGTCCAACCCTCTCCTTGAGCGCCGTCACCGCTCGAGTCCGGGCTTTCGGCATTACCCCGTGGCGCTGCGAGGGAGCAAAAAGCGGCCGCGATCGTGAAGGGTGAAAGTTGATGGTAACCTGATGGTCTGGGTGCCTGATTTTGGGGGGGAAGAGACCAGAGTGGTGATCGATTAGATAAATTTGTGATGTGCTGAGAATGTTGATCCACACCCCGTGGTCATTGGCCATTTTTGCGGCCTGGAGCCCGTGCTACTGCTTGGACAGGAGGACAAGTCGATGGCTGGCAGTTGTTTTTCGCATGACCAAGTCCTGTCATGAAATCCAAAGCGCCAAAGCGCCATGGGCGAAACATGCTGACCACTCTAGCGCAGCTTCTAAGCACCTCCACTCAGTCAGAGTTTCTCCCAATATGACTGCTTGGTGGGAAACCAACTCACTTGAAAAATATTTGTCGGCTCAATTATCCCAGGTTGACAACAATATCTGAAACCCCAACCTAGCAGGAATCCGCTGTGTCCACTCTGAAAGCCACCAAACATTGAGAAACATTCCATTTGGAACACAATAGGAACACAATTGAATTGAACACATCTCCCTGTCCGATGGAGTCTCTTTGTGACCTCCTTGGTTCCCTTTTGCAGGCCGAATGGTGACCGACAATCCCACGATCCCGTCAAGAACTGGTTTCAGTCCTGGGTTTCGCCCCGGACAAGTCCATCTCCGATCCCGGACCATATACATATATAGAATTCAAATAGTTATAATCCTTACTTTAGGGTCATAAATGGGGTAAATGTATGTAACTATTCCATATACATGGATAGTCTGGGGATGGTGACCAGGTGTTTGAACACCATCTCGCTGTTCTTGGTCGTTCCGGTGTCTGTGTTCCCGGTGGCGAATGGTTGGTGAATTCCCGGTCGCTGGATGAAGAACGGTTGCTTAACCACATGGGAGCTTGCACCCTTTCACCATCCAGCTCAGAAGTTAACGGTTGCTTAATGAACCTACAAGACGGGACCTGTCTGGGACTGCCATAGATGCATACATTGGGGTGCCAGGGGGGGTCAAAGGGGCGGAATATTCGAGTCCCATGGAGTATCATACCCAAACACTCCATGTATGGAATTTTTACCATACATTGACCCCCAGTCAACCACCCCTGGCCGTTTCTCGGCAGTCCGGACTGGCAGTCCCAGACAGGTCGCGTCTGGGATAGGACATATCAAGCTGGTTGAATTCATCAACAGTCAACATAGAGTCCTGGCCTCCAGGGATGGACACTCGAGTCGTCCGATGCGCGTGGGAAAACACTTCCGTGTGGAGTCGGAGACTGACTAGAGGACTTTGTCCAGACTATAGGTTCCAACTGAAAAAAACATTGACTACATCCTATGACTGGCAAAGGTCATATTACTACATCCAATAACTACATCCCTATTACTGTCGTTTAACAAAAAGACAGTCCTATATAGGAGGACTTGGTCCTCAGGACGACGCGTTTGGTTCGTTGTGGATCTGGACGCCGACGGTTCTTCCGGACGGTTCAGAGGCGAACACAGACCGATCCGACTGGGTCCATTGGAGGTTGTTGGTGAGTACTGAAAACAATGAAAGGAATGAACACATGGAAAAGAAAACCAGAAAATGAACACATATCATGCTTCCAACCTAATCCCTTTTGATCTATTCCGCTCTCATTAGCAAAGCCTACCATTCCATGCGCTCATGGCAGGACGAGCTGCACAAACGTCTGTACAATGAAAGGTCTGTGCCACGTTCAGCAAAACCCTCCCGAGCACCAACGGGCACGAACAGTGACCCGCAAAATCCACCCGAAGAAAAGAGGCGCCAAAAGTTAGCAAATTTGTCAAACGCGATATGCATCATACATCTTGGGACCAGCTTGTTCGAAGTGACATTTATATACGGAGTAGATTTTCAGGCCTGTTTGTGACCTCAAACCAATGGATCAAGTTCGGTCACTTTGAATACGTCTTTGGATGTTAACTGCTTTTCTGGGGGTCACAAGTGGTCATAAGGCGCTGCTGAGGCGCCGCAGTGGAGAAGACAGGTCTGAAGAGCATGTTCATTTGTTGAGGTGTTCGTGTCCAACTGATCCATCATGATGCACATTTTGCTTTGGGCACTGGCTGACGCCCAACTATCACTAAACTGAAAGTCTAAACAACAACATGACATTGCAAGTGAGAGGCCGGGGAGGACATATGATGACATATGACATATGTAATATATATATATAGTCATATATATATATTACTATATATATATATGTACTTGTACATTATATTATTTATGAATGTTAAATGAAAGTAAATGTCAGTTGTGTTAGGATAGGGGGCCTACGGTTCTCCTATTCGTACATGCCTGGGAGGATAGGGATTATGTAATATCCTGGTGAAAGGCTGACATTCCTCCTATTACTGTATATGCAAACAAAATGGTCACTGACTGGATGGAACCCCGAGAGGTTCCACCGGATCGTGGCCACGCCGGTGTGCAGGAAACGATTCCGGGGAAAAGCGAATGGAAAGAGGCCGCGAGAGCTGTCGTGTGCAGCATGGAGCAGTTCAGAACTTCAACCCTACTGGCACTGTTTTGAAGGCCATTGGGCATATTTGGCGACGTTCGCTTCCGCTGCCTTTTTTCTGAATGACCCGTCGAAAAGGACATCGAAAAAGGCCGAGAGACGTGAATTAAAGAGCAGAAGGAAGAAGCAACAAAGCGCCAATCACAGCCTTGATCGTCAGTCGTCGTCTGTCTGCTGGTCCAACGGAACGACGCTGGACTCGGGAATGCTTCGAATGAAAGATTGTTGAGTTCAAAAACTGACCTGTCTCTGTCTGGACGGGCTAACTGTGCAACACCAATAAATGACACTGGTGCCCCCTCCATGTGACCAACATGGATCCCTGCAATCCAATTGATTGTTTGGATCCTCACACACTCAGGACTCAGATCAGCTCCATGTTCGTCAGGGAGGGTTTGACGGCCATCAGTTGCCAAAGCAAGGTCATGGCAAGGCCATGTTTCGGAAGGTGGACACTTGCTCAGCGACTGACGCTTGTATCCACGCAGGCCCAAGTACGTTCTGAGACTATCAATGAATCAATGAACGCAAAAGCTCTCTCATCAAGGGGTTGGGCAACTCCCTGTAGCCGGTTTAGTGGAGAATATGGATATGCCTGGCTTCTGAGCTCTCTCCGGAGCACTAGCTAGTTGCAAGAACCATGTCTGCACGTACTCGCATTGTATCCTCCCCAGGGCTCCTGCCCCACATCGGCTGCAAGAACATGGTTGGGCTAAGCGCCAGGACTGTCCCTACATGTCCCTGCGGATGTGGGACAGTCGAGCCCGGATGGGCTTTTGTGGTTGATCCTCTTTCCCCTACCTAGGGACCTAGCTCTTATGCAACCCCCTCTCAGCTTAAACAAACATCACAATCAAACACCGAAGAGGGGGCACTATGCCACCAAAAAGGCCATGGAAGGAACCAGAGGGCGCTGGCGCTAGATAAATTTGTAGATTCTGAGCACCTAGATGCAAAACAAATTGCGTTTAACATCTGCTCAACAGTTCAAATCTATCTCTGCCATACCCAGGCATGTCCGACATGAACCGTCCACCGCGCGTCCGAACTGCAATCATGTTCAAAAAAAGCCGTGACTTCTCTGTCCCCCGAGTTTTCTCTCGAGTGGCGACGGCTGTGCCCCTGCGATGCTCTGTCTCTACTTGGCAACACGCCTGGGTTCGGAAGACCTCCCGCACCTGTCACTGTGCCTGAGGGCACTGAGGTCAACTTGGGGAGGGCAAGGCTTGAGGCTGGGGAGATGGTCAGTTGCTACGTATGTTAGTACAACAAGTGGATATAAATGGTCTCCAAATCGATAGGAACGGTTTCCAATATACATTGTTCTAGTTCGGGAAACGGATCTACATGATCTACAAGTTCTATCTATTTGGGGATCCATACGTTCAAAAAAGAACAAAACAACGGCGGATTGCTGGGGGAGCTGCATCCAGTCTCGGTTGCGGAAGGCTTGTCATGCTTGGTCGGAGCGAAATCTTGGAAAAGCGACACCCGACGGGAGATCCCAAACCATCCATGCCCATCCGGGATCCAGGAAGGTACCAAACCTCAGGTTAGGTATCGACGGTACGACCCGACGTTTGGGCACCGGATGGCACCGGCAATAGTAACAATGGAGACAAGACATCAGTTAACCTGAGGTTCGGTACGACTGAATCCATATTAGGGGATGTATGGCATATATTTACATACATTGATCCCTGAAACCACCCCAATTGATCAGTAAATACGCCATACATGGATGTTCTGGGGATGGGTTTAGCGAATGTGTCCTGTACCTAACTGACAACTGACTAAGTGTTGAAGACAAAAATTACCGTGAGATGGACAGACACGCAAAGCTGCTGCGCGCCGCAAGGATGGTCACTTCGGGGCCTTGCAAGGATATGCCGGTCATAAACTGAGCTTCACTTCTGACATGGGGTGCCGGATTTCCATCGTTGAAGCTTGAAACCCCCATCAAACCGACCATGTGATCAATCAAGGTCAACGATGGAACAGGCCTTGAAAAGGAACCAACAATATTTGTTGCATTGAAGATTGGAAGAGAGAGAGAGGGAGAGACTAACAGTAAGAGATAAAAAGAAAAATCTGTTTGGATCTTTTTGGACTCAAACAGCCGTGGTGCAAGTCTGTCAAACTAGGGTACTGTTGCAAATTTACAAACGACGGCAGCAGCATTAATTAACTGCTTTGCAACAACCACACCACTTCTGAGTGACCATTTGCAGATGCTAAATGCAAAGGTGTGGTACCATTTGGCAATGCAGCATTTGGGTCAAGTTGAGCCTCCAGCAACAAGCGCACCACTTCCAAGTGGCCATTCTGCGCTGCAAAGTGCAAAGCTGTTGCATCACTGGCAAGTGCGGCATTCTGATTCACTCCAGCTGCAAGCAAGAATCGTGTTACTTCCAGGTGTCCTCTGAGGGAAGCAAAGTGCAATGCTGTTGCACCATCCGCTTTTGCAGCATTCATGTCAGCTCCACTCTCCAGCAAGTAGCGGAGGAGATCGAAATGGCCATTCTGAGCGGCAATATGCAAAGCCTGGTTGGTCAGGTCATTCAAACATATTCAAACCATCCCCCCAAACAAGACAACTGAGGTAAAACATCTCAAAAACAGACTGACACGTAAAGCATTTGCAGTATTTTGCAGTAACTCAGAAAGTATTCCGATCAAGGACCTGGAAGCTGTCGTACCATCCTCTTTTCTCGCATTTTGTTCAGCTCCAAGACCAAGCAACAAGCGCACAATCTTCAAGTTGCCTATCTGGACTGCACAATGTAAAGCCGTTGCACCAAGAACTGTTGCTGCATTGATTTCAGCTCCATATTGGAGCAACTCTTGCACCACTTCAAAGCGGCCATTCAAGGCTGCCAAATGCAAAGGTCGGTGGCCATCAAAAGTTGCTAAGTTGCTATCAGCTCCGGCCTCCAGCAACAATCTCACCACTTCCAAATGGCCATACATCACCGCAGCCTGTAAAACTGTGTGACCATCTGCAGCCGCTGCATCCTTTTCAGCTCCAGCATCAAGCAACAATCGCACAACTTCCAAGTGGCCATCTTCAGCTGCGAAGTGCAAGGCTGCTTTGCCACTCCAAGTGGCAGCGTTCTTTTCTGCACCTGTCTGAATCAACAACTCTACCACTTCCACATGACCTTCCTCAGCCGCCAAATGCAAGGCTGTCGTACCATCCACTGTGGTCGCATTGCAATCAGCACCTGCATCGATGAGCAAGCGCATCACTTCCAAATGCCCAAACTCCGCTGCAACTTGAATGGGTAACATCTGTGCATCGCCTCTTGCATTAGGGTCCTGAGGCCGTGCCAGGTAGCCTTCAACCTCTTTTGGCAAGTTTGCCTCACATGCAGCAAGAAGTGCATTCACCAGAGCTTGGTCGAAAGGACTGAACTCTAAAATCACCAACTGCAGGTGGTGGTGTCGTGCCAGATCCACGTGGTCCTCTAAGTCTCCATCTTCATCCAAAAGCCTTTGTCGAAACCTGGAGTAGCCTGTCTTAGCTGCTAGGAAGTGCTTCAGGTCAACTACACAGGCACCGCTGTCCAGACCAAAGTCTTCATCCAGCTCAGCGATGATCGCACCAGAGACTGCCCTAACCTGCAGCATAGGACCTATAGATGGCTGGCATGTTAGCAAGATGAAATGAACTCATGAATCAGGACTGTTGAACATTGTTGTACTCCCGGGAATAAGCATGCTTACGTGGATGGCATGAGTTCTGTGCTGACTCTTTTCCACTACAAGCAGGGTTGTTTCCACTTCCGTTCGTGTGTCCTCGGAGTGTCAGCGTCTTGGATCTTGTTGTTCTGATGTCTTCCCTTTGAACACTCGGCCCCTTCGGCGTTTGACAAACTCGCTCGGTGCACCCGCCCTGGGGCGCTGAGGAATGCTCCGACCCTTTACACGTCTGTGGCCAATCCATCTCTGGAGTCTCAGTTCGCAGTCTCAGTTCTCAAATCCTCGCGCAGAAGGACTGGTTATAACGATGATGTTGTATACAAGCTAGGACTCAGGACTAGTTTTTGTTTGGGTCATGTCCCAAAGTCGGGTCCATGTCCGTAAAGGATCCACTGCCATCTTGGCCAGAAGACCAGTTCGATGGGTGTCTCTGAAAAGTGTGGGCCGCCCATCGCTGCGTTTGTCCACTGGGGCTCCCAGCCCCAGTCAAAAACCCAGTTGAGTACCACTCTGGGACCTGCAAAGCGAGCTCGAAAGAACATCTCTGGGTGACCACTGCCAGGAATGTGTTCGTTCGCTGGACCCGTTGTTTCAGCTGGATTTTTGGACATGAACAATTCATGATAACAACAGCGGTCCGAAACTAAAAAACGAAACAATTGAACAACATCATGCCCAAACGCCGTTCACAACCCTCAAGTCACTTAAGTCCCTCAAAAGCCTAGGGATTGGTGAGAAACCCAGACATCCCAGATCGGTCCAGGAGCGGTCGGCCGGGTGAAGCACCGTGCTTCTCTTCGACTCGGCTTGCCGGCCCCATGAATCCCCCCTCTTTCACCAGGGCCCAGTAGGGGCCAGTGGATGATGGGGCCTGGTTGCAGGCCGGCATCTCAGAAATGCTCGTAATCGTTCACATAGCCAGGTACTGGTACTGGGACACACCCTATAGCCAGGCTAAGCCATATTGGACTCTTGGAGTTGGAAATTGGACACTTGGAGTTGACTCACGAGGACTGAAGCAAAGTCAACTGAAGAAGCACCCAGTTGATTCTGGAAAGCAGACTCCTGTGATGAGCCTGAGCCTAAAGTGGGCAAACTCCATATACGACAAGTGATGGCCAAGTGGTTAAGCACACGCTTCAACAGCCGAACATGTCTGCCCCGGAAAATGCAGCAATTAGATTAATGAGTGTGACCCGAAAATAATGGATATAGAAAGATATTGAGAGATAGACAAATAGAAATATAGATATATATAGGTAGATAGAGAGATAGATAAATAGATAGATAGATAGATAGATAGATAATAGATAGATAGATAGTTCTGAGATTTTGAGTTGGAGGCGCTCGTCGGGAGTCCGTCGAATGCGGGGCACAGGGGCACAGAGAACATGTGTCTCCGTCTGACTTAGAGAGTCAGTCAAGCACCGTGGTGCGCTGCCGTAGGATACTGGTCATTTCGACCTTCAACAATCAAACAAAAAAAACAAATACATTCAGCCCCAAAAGCCATAGCCGCTTGCACCGAAAGGCTGATAGATAGATAGATAGATAGATAGACAGATAGAGTGATAGATAGGAAGGAAGGAAGGAAGGAAGGAAGGAAGGAAGGATGGATGGATGGATGGATGGATCGATCGATCGATAGATAGACGGATAGACAAAGAGATAGAGACATAGAGATAGAGACATAGAGATAGAGATGTAGCGAGATAGATAGAATGATAAACACATAGAAAAAGATTCACTTTCCGGTGCAGCGGAAACAGTGAGGCATTCAACATCTTACGATGTAAGCAAACTCACTTGGTCTGCTCACGCCGTGGCATACTTACTTGGCATTCATTGAAATTCCAAAGTATCATAGCTATCCAAATGAAATGAACTGTAGCAGCCCTGAGCTGGGCATGAAAAGGATTTGCCACCATCAAGCCTGGACTGCTGATCCATTCGCAGGCTGGTCATTCATGAGAAAGGAAAAGGTCGTTCAAAGATTCCGGCAAAAAGAGTCAATGAGAACAGTGGCCTGAATTATCCATGGTTTCATGCATGGTAGCGGAGCTATTCACCAAGCAGCTGCGCACCAAGCAGCCAAAGTGAGCACCCTTCTAGTGCAGCTCTAGGTGAAGCCTAGATGCACAATCAGGTTGAGCTCAAAAAGATACCTAAGGGCCTGAGGTGTCCGTGCCATGACAAGGCACCGTGTACGCCTCATGCTGTACCTGAGAGTCGAGGTTCCTGGCAGCAAAGTTTGCTGCGATTGGAGGCTGCAGTGTTCTCCAGGTTGGAGTGTGGCCTCGCCAGAGTTGGGCAATGTCAGGCATTGGATCTGGGGCAGTCGGTTTCTCCTGCAATGATGTCGGATCAGGTTCCAGTCGGGTTCCTGGCATGAAGCACAGCAGCCCGAGTATAAGTGATACAACGACTCGACCCTTTTGGGTATTGATTCCCACACCGTGGTCTCCGGATGCCATGGCCTCATTGTTGTATTGGGTCTCCAACTCTTTGGCCAAAGGAGAGGATGATCCCAAGCCAAGTGTTGCGCTATGCCTCGAACCTGGAGAGCATCGGCCCAGGCAATGGATTGATTGGCACCATCTGCAAAGGAGCACTGCTCTGTGGCTGCATCGGCGCAATAAATGATCTTCTTCTTGCGATGTGGCTCATTGTGGTGGGTAAAACACCACTGCTTCTCGCTTGCATTGATCAGGTAAATCATCTGAAAAACAGGCACGCTCAACAAAATCAATCCGCAAGGCCAATACAACAATCTAATATCAGGTATACTAAGTTCAGTCGCTTTGAAGAATCCCGGTAGCTTACGCTTGATCGACCTGTTGACACAGTAGCGACCAACACAAACATTACACACTCACACACACACACGCAAAAAAAAAACACAACGCAATCATACGCAATCAACATGCGTTGATCCAGCTTGGAAAACATGTTGAATCATGTTTCTGCACTCAGATCTACCGCCCACCCACGTGCAGGATGCCTGCATCTGGACGGCTCACACCTGTGACCTAGCCGGAAGTTCCAAGAAATGCCAGTCAGGTGATGTCACTTCCCCATTTTGAGAAGCGTTTGCCTTTGCCTCTTTCTCCAGTATGCTTTGCTCCGGTATGTGTGCCAAACAAAAAATGAGACGAATCCGGGACAAATTGGCAGCGAGGAATCCATCCAATCCATGGCACAACAATTTGGGTGGGACTGTCTGCTGTTAGCTGCTGTAACCCGTCATCGCTTGGACGGCATCAAAACGAAAATAAAGAAACGGCATGTTCTCTCATTTGCCCCCAAACACTTGCTTGATCGTTAAGCTTTCAAAATAAGTGGTGTTTCGGCGAAGCACGGTTCGTGTCCTTTCTCAAGCTGTGCCACCCGGGCATCCGGATACACGCAGAGTTTCACTGACAAAGAACCTGAGCGTCCGGACTTTGGCTGAGCCTATCCCGACTTGAAGATTGACCGATGACCCTTAAAACATCTCAAAACCACCCCAAAGGTAGAAACATATTCAATCATTTTTCCATACATGGATTGACTGGGTATGTGCTAAGTGCTAAGTGCTGACCTGTCATTCAGAAGTATAGGGCTGGACGCACAACTACTTGAATTTCTCCATCCGAAACCCATGAAACCCATGGTACAGGTAGGCATATTCCGAAGTCCGGGTGAAAACTCCAGGAGTGGTGCTTCTCATGTCTAGGTCCTTTCGTTTTTGGCATGTCCGTCACTCTCAGCCCTCGCTTTTCGAAGTGCCTGACGTCTTCCTCTTACACTCTTACTCTGAGGACGTTCCAGACGAAGACCCGAGCGTCAAAGGTTTGGCCGCAGCTTCTGGTACCACATGACACACCATGACACACCACCCATGACCATCGGTGCAGACCTGCCGCATATGGAGGATCCACTACCGTCTCTGTGAGGTACGGTGATGGTGTCTAAGACAGAGTCGCTTTTGAAACCTCAGGTGAGAGTGAGAGGGTATGTGGATCCCGAAAAGGGGGACGGAATAGTTTCTTACTTACATGGATGTGTCATAAAAAATGATGTAAACTAAAACATGTGTAGACTAACATGAACACATGATCACCATGATGTAACCATGGATACCAACATGGATGGTCTTGGAAAAGCATGGAAAAGCCCACCTTCCACCCGCAGAGCCCGCTGGTTCTCGCCGGGAGCCCCAGCTCTCCTGGAAGCCTCGCTCTCTCGGCGAGCCGGCGAGCCGGCTTGGGAGTCGGCGAGCCGGCCGAAGAAGGAGGGTCAGAATGCACTTCTCCGAAGTCGAGTTCAAGTATGTTCAACTATTTTACAATATATGATATATTCAGTATATTATATCATATATATATATATATATATATATGTTTTTTTTGTTTTTAAGTATTTATTTGTTTTGCCTCTGTGAAGTAAAGGAAGTTCCTTTGGTTTTCAACGACCATTTGATAGAATAGTCTTGGACTTTCAGGGTTCTAGTTGGATGTATAGGAGGTAGTACTGGAGGTCTAGAGATGGCAAACATGGAAGAAGAGCCACCAGCACCCACCACTGAGTATGGATGATTTAGTGGTTGATTTTACACCAAGTCCCGTCGCAAGTGGTGAAAATGTTGGGGAAGCTGGCTGCTTGGATCTTCGTCCGGAATCAGAGCGCGGAATCGGATCACGGGACCTCTCCCAGGTGAGTCAGAGTCGCACCCTATAGGAGTCATCTCTTTTCAGTGTTCAAGACATCCTCAGTGTTTATTTTGACACATTTTGGATGCATTTCTTCGGTGTGTCCCTTCACTGAAAAAAAACCGCAGACATCAGAACCTAAACCGTCCGAACGACTGACCCACGAGAAAACCAAGCTGGACCCGATTTCCAGAACCCTACAGAAAGTGTGACATGACCCGAACATAGAACAGGCACGAGTGGAGCCTCCATCGCACACGTACCGGCACACATACGACCCGCCCAAATCCGCCTTGCCATGCTTCAGCTTCTCCATGGCCTGTGAGAACTGTTGCTTCAGCCTGGCTGAAGGCTTGACAAGATCCCTAGCCTTCCGTTCGACCATCAAAGAGTTCGGTCGACCTGGTTTTGTTATGTAAAGTCCTTAAGGCGTAAAACAGCTGGTTGTTTGGGATACCAATAAAATCAATGGTGGGCCAGGAATCCGGCCTGGTGGGAGATCGTCCATCTGCATAAACCACATGTGTTTACTCGGCCCATCTGGCTGAAAGATCAATCGACTGTTGAGGGCAGAACCGACTGGCTGTGAGATAACAACTGGGTGCGATTGTAAACTGTTTGGGGACAACCTGGAACCAGGACTTGCGCTTTAATTGAATTTGAAGTCAAACTTCCTGTCAGCTAAGCCTGATTTTGTGCAGCCTAGGACGCATGCCGCAAAATTCAATAGGAATGGTATACGGTATACCCAAAAAGTCCAATACCATAACAAGAAATGGTTGGCGTGGCGCTGTAGTCCAAAATCCAGATTAGTAAAACAATGAAGTTATGTGCTAAGAACCATTGAATCATAATGGTGGTTGGAATCCAACCCTACATGTCCAAGGACCCTGTAAAGCCTAGTGTTGTACCTCCTTAAGTATTGTGTTTGTATGTGTTTGTATAACAAACTCCAGTAAAATGAGGTTTTTGACTTGTAGGGCAAGGTTCTATTCTATACAGCGCTGTGTCGTCCATTGTTATCTTAGGGATATTTGGTACCGACTCTCCACCTGAAGAGGTTCGGGACCGGAGTGACTTACTTCCACACACTCGAATGTAAAATAGATTCATGGTTTAAAATACCAAAATATATTCAATTATACTATAGAAATAAATTAGGTTTAGTCCTAATTATTTTATCTAGTATACCAGGCACTCCATGCGCTCCATGGCACTCCATGTAAATATTTACCATTTGGGTGCTTGACGGCCACGTCGGCAGCATATATGACCAGTCCCCTGGGTCAATCGCTCGCTCGCTCGCACCCGGTGGTTTCGTATCGTCTTAAGTCTCGGCCGAAGCCACATCTTCCCATTGGCCAGGTCGTTGACCTACGACGGACGGAGCTGCCGGCCGGACGTGGTGTTTCGGGAGTCCGCCAGCCCTTAGATTGTAATATAATTCAGCGATGGGGGACGGAATTCGGACGCCTTTTTGGTAGCAAAAAAGCACCCTGAGAAGCTGATTTTGTATGCTTTGTTGATTTGTGGTGTTCTTTAGTTAACTGTTTTTCGTTCTGGAGTGCTATAGGTTTCGGGTTCGGCTCAACATGTACTGATGCGGTAGCCGTGCTCTGCTGACGTTTGATGTCTTTTGTTCTTGGCGCGGATGGCATGATGGCACGGCCCTGATTTCGGTGAACTCCACTTATTCAAGGAGTGCACCTACCTTGACCATGCTTGACCCTAAAAACATTCCAAACCAACTGACTGGCACAATGATCCCATGGATTCGGGGGCGTCACAGAAGGGTGCTCAACACCTGCCCGGACGCCGCCCCGTTCAAACGGCGCCTTCTTCTGCAAGAGCCTTACGGCACCGTCCCTGAAGACAGCCTGGCCGGACTCTGTCTGTCGCTCCGTTTCACCCTGGTCCAGGACCTTCCAAGAGGTCTCTATTGATAGCGTCTTAGAGGTTAAGGAGTGTCCAAAAACTGGAAGGTCCTGGATCTACAGCAATGATTTATCCCTAAGAATCCGTTCGGGCCGTCTATGGCAGGGGTCGGACCTTCTCCCTCTTAGTGTGGGTCCGGACTGTTTCAAGGCGTCTAGACAAGCATAGAAAGGAACACGCGGTAGCAGCACAGTGCCATTCATCTACCTGGAAACGTCATTGAAACAAACACATCATGGAATTCAAACACATCATGGAATTCTAGTGTTGATCAAAAGTTCACTTCCACTCTCTGATGCATGCTGCTGCATGAATCACAGAATCACACATCCTGAATTATTCTTGTTTGTTCACCAAAGAACTCTTAGTGCACATTGGACAAATCGCTCGCAGGAGGCTGGGTCCCGCGCCTCTGCCCCAGGTGTTACTGCTAGCTTCACAATGAGGCGCATGACCTGCTGAGGACAGTGAATTGAGAGATCCTTGACAGGGATATATCACATATATATATATATATTATATACTGTGTTTATCAGCTCTTTTAATGTTTATAATCTTAAACCCGCATAGATGCCGACAGGTCAACTAGTTCGAGGGTTGGGTGTTGGGCGAAGACAAACAGGTTGGTTGGCAGGATGCTGGAATAGATGGATACTAGGTCGAAGGACCTGTTGGCAGGATGCTGGCATAGATGGAATTGAACAATCAGTGATCGGTAATGGAAAGCCTCCAGCAAGCTTGGTGGTCTATCTAGTCGGCTTACTGGAGAGGATGGTTCAAATCTGCAGGGGAGTACTCAAGCACAACGCTGAGCGTTGACATCATGCCGTGACCTTGTCATCTGTCCCAGAAATTCTGCGGATTTGACCAGGAAGGTACACGGTGTGCAAAAGTGGTTCATTGTATCTCGAAAGTCGGAGGTGCGTGCAATGGAATCTCTTGAAGACATTCAGCTTCCAGTGTTGTTCAAACATTTCAAAATATCAGGAGTGCTTAATTTTTTTGATTTTATCACTCACTCGAGTCTGGAACGTGTTCTGAGTCTCTGAGCTGCAAATACTGTGATACTGGGCTTCTGGCTTGACAAGAAACCTCGAAGCAATTTACCTCGGGTGCAAGCATGAGGGCCAAAACTTGTCACTGACTGGAGAAAACGCATTCCCTACATCCAAGGTCCAGTCTGACCCAGGTCCAGACCTGGTCCTGAAAGAAACAACAAATTGAGCAGTGTCGCACTGTCTGATCATCTGGTCAAATGAGGTCACTTTACCTGTAGGGATTGATGTCCACATCCTGTCCACTGATGTACTGTAGGCATATCTAGGCCATTGAAACTCAACCCGTTCCGCAGGCAAGTGAGCGCAGATCTGATCAGGCCGAAACTGGATTTCGTATTGCCAGACAGTGTGGTCTTCTTCTTTGTCATCTTCTTGTCCACAAGTGACTCTGGAGTCGGAATGACACGACAGTGCTGTATAACACGACAGTGCAGTGGAATGTGGAACACCTGAGCTGCACCTGCAGAGTCAAGGAGTCGAGTGGTCTGAGGGTTCCACGGAGAAAAGCCACAGCACGAGTTTTGTTTTAATGCACAATGCTCCTTACTCACACACACAATGCTTCATAAATAAAACACAAACAACACGCAATGAAATGAGGAGTTTCCACAACACATGATGTACTGTAAGTCTTTGTCTATGCTTTCTACTTCCACTGACCCTCTTGAAAAATCCAAAAACATCTTACAAGAAAGCCATGTTGAAGCCCGTGGTCTCCAACCACTACTGTCAAACACCGTCTTTGGGTCCCTCCAATCCGTCTACCGTCTACCACAAAAAACAATACCGTCTTTGTTATGAGAACATCTTAGACACATGGATCCGTTATACACTTTAAGCCACATCACCCGTGATGTTTCCACCAAAACATACACAAACCTCTCAGCCCTAACCAGACCACTCCGCGACGGTGGAGCCTCGAGGAGTTTCTGTATCACACTTGGTGCTCTTGGGTGAGTGCAAAGCTCGTTCACACTGCCGGTGTCCTGTCCGGAGCCAAGGTCGACGGAGCCGGGAAGCCGAGAACTCGGTAGAAGGTCGGTGGCTGCGTCGTCGGCGCGCGTCTGCCATCGTGCCATGAAGTGATTCGTGCGGTCAAAATGACTGATGTGGTCAGTGGGACCAGATCGGCTGATTGGGAATGCAATGTTAGGTTGATGCCGCACCCAAGGGTAAGCCATTGTCCCGGCTTGCCTGTTCAAATAAGATTCCAGCAAGAATATATATATATACTATATGATGTATATATATATATTACAATATATACCCTGAAACAACTGTGTTCTTGTTTGGCTGTTGGAGCATGTGGGTATATCCTGAGTATATTGTTTTGCTCATTCGCCTGATCACCCACAGGAGAAGCAAAAGACCTGGTTCTTCCCGCTCCTCAGCTGCAGCTGCCAGGGAAGCCGCAGCTTCCGCCTCTGCGAGCGCGCTTTCCGCGAGGGATCTCCGAGCGCATCCCGAAGACCATTGGTCTTGCCGCGAGCTTGGTTGACCAATGAAAGGTTGACCGGGTTTCGTAGTGTTTCTAGCCAAAAAGCATATTCAGTAAAAGCTACTCACAGGGCGATGAGGATTCTCAATTCCGACCAACCTGGGTGCGAGAGATCAAAATGATCAAACCATCTCTTTTTTAGAGTTTGCTACGTTGATTTCTCCCTCCTGAAGCCTAGTGATGTTGGGAAGTTGCATGCAATTGGACACTCAAAGAAATGTTCATATAGATTCCTTGCCAGTGTCGCCACAACTAGTTCCCCAGCAAACTAGTGCCCCAGCAACATAGGATTTCTAGCTCAAAAGGGCAATCCTACCTGTATATTGCTTTGTTTTTTGAAGCCGGACACAAACCTAACCCATCACAAATGCTCCAAAAGCGAGAAAACGCCAATGGTCGGCAAGTCAGTTCAGCCTGTGCTTGGGTGTCCTCGGCATTGTGAGCCTTAGGATGATCGGAATGGTGCTTGACAAAAAAGAAGATATTGGAGTTGCACATCTGTGAATAAATGGTGTTTTTGGTTCATGTATGCATCATATTTACCCTTGGACATCTACAAAGTAATGTAATTGCTGTTGCTAGCTGTTCTCAATAATCCTGTAAGTGAAGTCAGGCATGGCAACTGCGCCACCCTTGATAGGAAGTTGTCGGTGCATAAAAGCAACCTGCAAACACCATCACTGATTCACACGTTACATCCCGTCACTCTATACATATATCATACATATATGATCATATGCTTGCATTGGCCCCTGAAACATGGAGTGTCTGGGACACCAACAAACTGTTCCTGTTTGCCTGGATATGCCCTGCAGCGTTCAAAAAACTTCAGGCATCCCCAAAGAGTTTGCTAGTCCAACAGTCAAAGAGACTTTCACAAAAGACCCAGCCCAAAAGGAATGAAACATCAGCTAGGGCTGCTACACCCAGACCCGTCCTTGCAATGTAGTTCTTCTAAGCAAATCCCAGTGGCAAACCAGGCCACGACTAAATCCAAAGTCATTGCACTGGTTTCCGCTTGGCATCGCATGTTTCACCAAACGCTCCAAGTGACGTGTCAACCACTGGGGAATAGTTCTGCTGCTACCAAGGGCGAGTCGAACGACTACCCTCTATGCCGCTGCCCTCTAAAATTGTAGAGCTGCAGGTGACGGAGGGTTGGTCCCAACCGCACCCATGGAAGCAGGTCCCATCCACGTCTCAATTCGCCGAAAGACAGGAGGTTTCTGTCATCATGTGTTGGACAATGTGCATGGCTTCCTTGAAACTCCCAAGTTTGCTCAATGTATTGAAGTTGTATGAAATTGTATAACAGTTCATGAATAAATAAGTTGTTGGCTTTCCCCTGAAGACAAACGGTCGGCCTTTCTCCTGAAAATTATCGCAAATAATATTGTAGAGACCATCGTGACCATCCTGGAGCATCCTCTGAAGTTGGGCCTTTTCTCACTCAAGGATGGCCTTGGCCCTGGAGGACTACGGCGAAGAAACCATCAAGAAACCTTCCCAGGATCCCCACAGCATCCATGAGGGGCGTCAAAAAGGCGCTATTCGGCGGCGCCTGGTCAGTTTGGCAGCGGACGGGCAGCTGAGCGGTTCACCAAGCTGAAGTGGTGCCGATCGTTCATGGAGGGGGGTTCACATGGGCATGCATCAAAACCTGGACCCCCAAAACCATCTGGCAATTACGCAGTTTGTTGTGTTCCTTTGGATTTTTGGAGGGTCAAGCAAGGTCCATCGTTTTGCTTTCACCATTTCACCATGTTCACTGCTCATATCGATTCAGTGGGGAAGTGCAGTATGTGTAGTTCATCAGTCTTAGTCGCCACTTCCTCTTCTTCTTTCTTTACTCAGGTCTTGCGTTCTATAAATCCACCCTCTGACAGGTCCGGTAGACCACAAACCTGCTCTCCGACCAGGTCTGGGCGCCGACTCCATGACGATCCGAGTGAGGGCGCCCAGAGCAAACCAAATCCCAAACAATCCATGGGACTGGAACGTTTGCCGATCAAATTTGGGGTGGATTTGAGATGCCTTACGGCTCAATCAATGGTCAATGTAGGTCAATCTTCATGGATTGTGGGGGGAATTAGGGGGGTGTTCACACCTTCTCTTTGGACTATTTATCTATATATATATATGTAATATATTGTCATGTGGCACGCAGGTGCGAATCTCTGCGTGGAGCGCACCGTAGTTTTCGTCTGTGCGACGGCAGGCAGCTCATGCACCTGGCAAATCCAGCTGGTGGAACACCCACGTATCGTTTTCTGGCTCTGTGGAATGGCATGTTTGTTTGTTCTGTTTCAAGGATGTCATGGAATAGGCTGCTGGCTAGACCATATGGCTGGGTGAAACGGTAAAAAACATGATGTCATGGCAATGCAAACAACATCGATAGCCATACCTGTCCCTTTTGAACGGTGCAGGGAATCGTAAGCAAACCAGGGAGACTTTCCATCCAGCTGTATGGCATGGTCAAAACTCAATAGTGACTATGTTTTTGTTTTAAACCATACAAGTATATGCTATCAGGAAGCAACCCGAGTTCAATGGCACATGTGAGAGAAAGGGAAACCGAGGTGTCTAAATCTCTATTCTCCGGTGCGCTTGGACTGGTGAGGAACTCAACATGTTGGATCATTTTGGGTTGGCGTTTCCATGTCCATATCCAACTAGACCAGGATGATTTTCACCGCGACCCCCAATATGTATATATAGGAAAGAGATGTATATAAAATGATGTAGTATGATGTAAATAATTATGATAGATACAGAATTTCCAGAATCCAATGCATTTCTTATATCTGAACCTTCCCCCTTTACTTTCTACCTCCCATAGGGTCTGGATGGTCGAAGATTTTCGTTCGCACAACACCAAAGAATGGTCTTTCACTCAGGCCGACTGAGGCCTAAAAACGCAAGACATCCGAGCAACCGACGGATGCTCCTGGACTGGTCGAATCGGAGCCCTGCGGGTGCTCCAACCTCGTGACTGGATGCCTCTGGGAGGGGTGAAACTTCGGCAGGCACGGCACATGGGGCCTGGCGGATCAAGGCAAAGAAAGACGAAAGGGAGGTAATACCAGGTAGGCCGGCTACACACGGTCACTCACAAGGTGTTTTGGGTGTTTTGGGGCGATCTTGTCTTTCGCGATCCAAACTGCACTGCTTCAGGGCACTCCTGTTAGTTGGGATTCTGCAGCAACTGAATAAACTTGTGAAGCAAGCCTGAGGTGAGTATAATATAGGGTAGCAGCTAGCAAGAGCCATGACGCGACCGTCAAGGTATACTGAAGCATCCAACAAAAACGGATCTCATTCCAACACCCTCTGAAACAACAACCATAGGGGTGGGTTTGCGGGGTCCAGCTACCTTCTGACGATGTTCATTAACAGTCTCGTTCATTACTACAATTTCGCTTCAGTAATATTGCTCTACCAAGCTTGTTGTGTTAGTTTTTGCGCCTACTTGCTGGCTGATGCCACTTGTTTGCTGCTCCGTTTGTTGTTTGCTATCCTTTGTTGGTGTTTACTATACTTTGCTGTCGCGTGACAAGGGATGTTGCGGGGGAAGTACACAGTGCTCCACAGTGCTCGGACAGTGCTCTGACAGTGCTCAAAACAGTGCTCGGAAGTCAAAAACATGGAAAATAACAGCGATTCGGGCAGTAGTAGTGCAAAACGATGGAAATTTAGAATTCTAGGCTTTTTATTGATTCCTTTACCACTCCTGTGGCCATACCCACAGCACTGCGGAGCACTGTGTTGCCATGTAGTCCCCGGCTGCGTTGTGTGCACAGGAGTCAAAGCCATGGTCGCTCCAGGTCATGATGGCGCTCTACTCTGTTTGCTGTCCCCCATCTCTTGTGTCCTTCTTTGGCTCTTGTTGCTGACGCTGCAACTCTTCTTCTATACGTGGCGCAGCCCTGTGTCACCGGCTTCGCAAGTTTGTTCTTCCTGTGTCACTGGCTTCACAAGTTCTTTTAAATGCTGTGTTGGCCCACCGCTGCTTGCTTGGCGCAACCCTGTGTCGGGTACGGTTGATGGACAAAATCCTGCACCACCTCACCACTTTACCCTGGAAGGGTCGCATAGCAACCCCCGTGCCCCCTCTGAGGAGGTGGTGCAGGATTTTGGACCTTCAACTTGTTTTTGTTTTCTCACTGTGGTGGCCCCAATGTTAACGAGGGAGAACGAGGGCAGCAAGAAAAGTGTGCGCAAAGTGGTGCAGGATTTTGTCCATCAACAGTAGGGGTGGGTTTGGGGGGTTGGCAAGATAACCTCAGGCTGTTGCCGGTCCAACTACCTTCTGACGATGTGGGACAGCAGCTCTAGGGCATAGTCATAGTCATGTTAGCGGGTACCGGTTTCCGCCGGTTTCCCCTGAAGACCAGGTGAAAACCACCGTTTCAACCACAACCAGGCATTTGGCTCACTTCCACCGTTTAAATAAGAGCAAAATATAGCAGACCTTTTCGTCAGCTGTCCCCACTGGCAGACCCATCATTGACCCATCTCACTGTCTTGTATTCCCTCAAATGACCTGACCAGTTCGTGACCTATCCAAATGAAATCCCAGGACTTGCGCTCACTGAGAGACACCAAAAAGGTCACGGCTAGCTTCATTGAACCTCCGATTGTGCCGCTCCTTGAGTTCCGATGTCAAGCTTGTCAGGTCCTGCTTCAGCAGTCGAAACCTCGGCCGTGCAGCCTGCGTGGCCTAAAAACGTGTGGAACTTCAAGGCTTCTGTGCGATCTCTTTTGGAAGCTGGGAATACATGCAGAACATATTCCCAGAAATCTCCAGAAGGTCAACTTACCTATAGGGCCAGTGAAAAAAAAAACCAAGCAAAACCAGGACCCAAACCGTGTATAATATCAAATCATATACCAGGACCCTCCAACAGGTTACCACCTGTGACTTTTAAGTCCACAAAAGCCTCCAAAGGAGACCTGTAGAGTCGGGTGCTGGTAGTTCAACCGGTCAATGTAAACATCAATTCCGAGTGTCTGGAGGATTCCGAGGGTGTGAGCGGGTGATGGTTGACTGTCTCTCCCGCGTCCCGCGCATGATCAACGGAGGTTCTGGTGGTCCAAACGGGTCTTGGACAAAAATGCAAAAGCGAGATCGAAAGAGGTTGCAGGGGCACATGAACAAGAGGTGCCCACACAATCATACCTAGAAGATCCTTTGGGCAGAAATTCTTGCCTTTTTCGGGAAGAGCGGCTCTTCCCGTCCTGGGGCGGAAATCAGCTGTTTGCCGCGGAAATATTTTTGTTGCCGCGAATATTCCTTTTCAGGAATCCAGTCAGACAAAGACAACATATTCTACAGGAGTTGAATATTTTTGTGGTTTACATTGGGCATTTCTGCCTGGAACGGTCACCGCAATGAGAAAAACCAATTTGCAGCGCTTAAGTTTCCACCTCCACCTGCAAATCTGGCTACCATCATATCATATATTATGTGTCTTTGTTTCTTGTGCGGAATGATCACAAAAGGACTAAAATCAGTCCAAAGTTGAAAACACCTGGCGCGAAAATGCCCGGGAAAAAGGCAGAAATACCCGGGAAAGAGGCGGAAATACCCGGAAAAACGGCGGAAATACCCGGGAAACCGGCGGAAATTTCCTGGTAGAAGGCGGGATTCAAGAACAGTGCCTTTGATGCCTTTGAAGGGCTTGAACATATGTCGCAGCCTCTTTGTGAATGTCATGAATTTAGAAGTGTCAAAATCGTAGGGTGTCAGATCTTGAGATGTGAAGCTATGCAGAACGATATGTGGTCTGCAATAATGGAAGAGACAACCTGGTAGGTTGTAATGGTTTTTGAGTTGCTATGTTGGATTTTGCTTGAGGCAAAAATTCCCTGCTGCCCGCGGAAATTCCTACCTGGCGCGGATTTCCCCTAAATCCGCGAATCCTCCCGGGCAAATCGGACTGAGGCAGAAATTTCTGCCCCAGGTGCTTCTAGGTATATATATATATATATATACCAACACCCGAAACCTGCCAGGTCTGCTTTGGAGGGTTGTTAGTTAGGCCCTGTTGGAGGTCTCAATTGGTGACCTGGCAGTGAGGGTGCTGGTCTCTGCCAATATATATATATTGTATATTATACGTGTGTTAGCTATATACACCCTATGGATCCACATACCCTCTAAGAGGGTGATTGGTGACATCTTTATATAAGCGCCAAGGGGGGGTGATTAGTCGCACCTTCGCTTCTTTTCGGTGGAGTGGACCTTTGGGAACATCAAGTAGTGAGATACATGTGAAACGAGCTACGTAGCAATCAACAAATGAGGCGCATTTGGTACGATAGGCACTGTAAGGCTTGAAGGCTTGGGTCGATGTGCTGATAACCAACGATATGTCCGTGCAAGCAGTGTCTATCTTCAAGTGATCATTCAAAAACGTTAGGCAAAGTGATGACTGGGATAGAGGATCCAAAAGAATGACGTACTGGGATTGGACCCCCTGGATCACCTTTTTTGCTCCTTGGTGTGGCCAAAAATCTGACCATGTGGCCCAACCAATCCATGGGACTGAAATATGTACTATATACATCAAATCCTACTAAACATTCTACAAACAAAACACCCCAAATTGATCCAGTCCCATGGATATTGATGTTGGGTGCGAGAACAGGAAAATCCAAACACCTCCAAATCAACTGCGTTCTGAATCTGCGTTCTGAACCGGCTGAACAAATGCGGAATGGTGTGCATCGTCCACTTTGTGCCCTTCCTCTCTGTTATAGCTGCCCCACAAGCCCCGCAGGCTCTTTGGCTGCCCCACAAAGCGTTGAATGCAATGCTATCACCTGGCTGTTGCTCAACGGATGTCATTTTTTGGTGTGTGTGTGTGTGGTTTTTATGGGTGACACCTGGTGTTTCACCATGATCTCATATATATATATATATATACACACACCTCTGCTCATATACGCATGTTCCAGTGCCAAATCCGGGCTGACTTGCAGAATTGATCCCAGGTTTGTCACCAAACACTCCTACTTGTCCAGCCACCATGCTTAATCTAGACTCTTCATTAATAACCCCCCCATATGAAGAGGCTTATGATGTTTGGCGTGCTAGGCGACTCCTTGTTCTCCAGCCCCTTCAAGCTGTTTGGATCCCGGCACACCTCCTCGAACAAATACCGGAAGAGTTGATTGATAGTGACATGGCTCGAGCGCATGGCTCTTGTGTCCAAGACATCATTCATATTAGAACGCTGACCATGCAGCTAAACGAGCTGCACTCGCCAACGCAGCTATCCACGACCACATTTATCCGGAAGTTTGTCAGGCGGTCCTCCAACGACAAGAGTGGTTGACTCGCCTCTGCATTCTCTTGGGGCAAGATGCCCACAAAGAGATTAATGAGTCAGACGATGACAGATTTGAAGAAGCACTGGAGTCCAAACACCAATTCCCCAAGCTACAGTGGAACGCAGATCCATCATGCTTTTCATGGAGGGTTGAGCAAGGTTGGCCCTCAACGCCTGCACGATGGCCCTTTTCTGCACAGGACTGGATGAACTTTGGCTCCTTTATCCATGCGCTTCAGTGGTCTTGTGCCCCTGATTTGAGAGTTTCGCTTGCTGAGCTTGCTGTCCTCTTTGTTCATCTTGGCATCCCATACTCGCAGTTTGAAGATGAACATTGTACCTTCCAAGCCCTTGCCAAATGGATTAAGTCATCCTTTGCTTTTTGCCGTAGTCAACTTGCTTTCGATATTAAATCCTGGCAAATACGAACCGCGATTGCCCACACTTGGGGCAAATCGATGCCACCAGGGACGCTTTGTGGGTGTCGCCCCTTCTTTTCGGACGACGCCTTGCTGCTGTTGACTCGTATGTCTGCTTGGGCTTTCGCTGTTGCAGAGTTTCGTTGAGCTTCTAGGACACTGCAAACTTTGTAGACGTACAAGTCCATGAGCCACGAACTTGCCAACTTAGCTGTCCTTTCTTTGGTAGCTGGTTTCTCTCTTCGATTAGTATGAAAACTTTTCCAACGTCGCAGTTTTTGTGCGCGGAAAACACACACACACCCGGGTAACGTCCTTTTCGTCAGGATTCCGGGACCAGTAACCTCCCTATTTGGATTGTAAAGCCTCTTCTACCTCTCGCGGCCACGATCGGATTCCCCTCCATTGAGGTGGCCTGTACCGGCAGTGGAGCGGTAAACGAAAACGTCCACTGCAAGAAAGGACTTGCCTTGATCCTGCTGGAGGGTGGGCGCAAAAAAACGGAAACAAACAAGTACACAGGTTGTAGTTTCCTTTTTCCTTTTGTGTTTGCGCCCTGCCCAGATCCGATGAACGTACCCAGGACGATGAGAAGCGCTCCATTTGTTGAGCCCCCATTTTGGTATGAGCTTCATGCCTCTACTAGTAGCATCTATGAGCCTATCTCAAGATTGCAGCCATGAGTGCTAGCAATGCATTCATGGGATCATGAAATGTTCGTGGAAACCATGTGGTTCATGAGAACTATCATACTTTACTATCATATGTTGATGCACTTTCAATGGGACTATGTGCACTGTTGTTCATGAGTTCATGAGCTGAGGCAAGCTCCACATGAGCTGATGGGGTACTTCACTTCCACGGCCAAAAACCGAAGTGGATTGGTGGAGATTGGTGACACCAGGAGATTGGTGGACTGGCAGTGGGTGGATGGGCTTGTGTACACTCTGTTTGACCATAAGTATGTATATATCACTAGTTGGTGTATTACCAAATGATTTACACTCGTGAGAACCATCATGTATTGCCATAAAATATGTGATGGAGACTGTGGGTTCCAAGCAGTGAGGGTATCAATGTCGTAGGATCTCATAGGATCTCATAGTATATTGTATCCATGGCATTGAGCAGGATGTCTGCTTTCTCCATTCCAACTTCGAATGAGTATTGTGTGCTTGGTGAGGGCATGAGTGATGAAGACATTAGTGACATTGAGGAGTATGAGGAGGATAATGCTCGATGTGACGAGCATTTTGAGGCGTAAGAGCAATTGTCCGATGGGTCACCCGGAATGACCAGTTGCAGCTCGCTTTGGCTCTCGCAAACAGAAAAACGGAAAGGGTGGCAAGAATGGGAGGTCAAAAAGGTGAAGAGGGGCACTGGGAAGAGTAGAAGCCGCCGCACAAAAGTCGTTTGATTGGGAATATTTTTTAAAGAAGGAAACTGAATGGAGAAACCATGGCAGTCCATTGCATGAGAATAACTATTGGGAAACCATTTGGGGATACTCTCTTTGATTGGGATGAAGTGGAAAAAGAAGAGGATTGCAAGAGGGAATTAATTAGATTCATCGACTAAGAAAGGGCAATTGGGCATCAAGAGGCTTTTAAGCCCTGGAACTGATGATGGGGCTGTCATGGCCACTGATGAAAACATTGGGTGTACAGAACCTGCTATGAGGAAAAGAGGGCTCACAGGCATTGGGTTCAATCTGGTGAATTCGAAGGAGTGTCTTTGGATGAGACAGCCAGGGGAGAAAGAGATGGTTCAGCATGAGCAAAGCACAACCACGGATCAAAGAAAGCGTAGGAGTGTAATGAGAAAGGGGAAGAAAGGATGAATTGGGAACAAAAGGAGAGTGAGGGCATCAGGAGGTGGTACCAAAAACCCATTTCCACATTTGATTGATGAGGTGAACATATATGGCTTGAAAGGGAAGGGAGTCATCCAATGCCGGACCTATTCAACAAAACAGTCCGAAAGCCCGAAACTAAAACGACAATGTAACACTGGAAAAACACCCCCGCATAGCGTCCCCCCTCTCGGTCTCTTTTTCCCGGGTTCCGACCTCAAAACCCGGAGCCCTTAGAGTTCATGGGTTCCGAACGCATCGACCAGTCGCACCGACGACGACGAGAGATGACCGCCGGAAGACTGGGTGCTTTCACTCTGATCTGTGGAGGCCCAGGCTCAGAGACCGCCAGGTCACTCTGACGTCCCAAAAAAGGACGCCAGCAAGCCGGTTGACAGGGCCCCACAACAGGGCCGCCAGGGCCCCGCTTCGCCCCACCCGCTCAGAGCCGCGCCCAGGCGGCTCGGAGGGTCTCGCACCTTGAAGGCGATGAAGCATCACCAGGGTTTCTTGTCGCCTTTCTTGTCCAGTCCGATAAGCCTCAGAAGCGCTTACAGCGAGCCGAGCTGGCTGAGCGAGCGGAGCGAGCGGCTTTGGGGCACGTTGCCGGCTGGGTCGGTTTGGTTGGGTGTTTGCTCTTCCAGTGGCCGGTGGATCGGAGGTTTGAAGCTAAGATTTGGATGAAAGGACATCGAGCTCTTCCAACAGAACGCCCTAATTTCAGTGTTCAGTGTCGGACCATCGCGGACCATCCTGGCAACCGCGGGTTTATTCAACAGTGAACGTGACTGGCGCAAACATCCCAGGAACAGTTGATCTATACCCATCTGTGCAATGTGCATTGGCAGTGTGGTGCTCCGCCAAATGCAAGATTCGCCGCCTTTGTCTGCCTATATATTCATAATCCTGCACCAAGAAATTTGAGAAGCCTCGGTCGGATCATGATCTGTGATATGGCCCTTTATGACGTGTTTGTTAAATTCAAAATAATGTATGGCAGCATGTGTGTTACAGTGTTATTCTGAAAGAATAAAACTACAACACCACTAAACCACAACTTTATCACTTCAACACTTAATGTTATAGCATCGTGTTCCCATGCTTCATCTTTTGAGGCCGACTCTGACACCCACTGAACTCATTTTTTGGTGACAGCGGGTGCCCGCACTCGTACCTTGATCTCGCAAACGTTTCCGTTGCAAAGGACCGAGGCTTTCATCTGGCAGAGCGACGCTGGCAGAGCGACGCTGGCGCTGTTGCGAAATGGAGACAGATCCGGGTCCGACCTGGGTGGGGACCCTCGTTCGATGGTGTGCCACCCAGGCTCGCAAAGTCTGGCCCCTCCGTTCAGGGACCGGGCCGGACCCGAATTCTATGGAGGGGCTTGGAATCTCAAATCCTGGTTTCGAGGGACCGGGAGGGAAAGGCCTGTCTTCACGGATGGAGGGAAAGGATGGGAAAGGCCTGGGCAGGATGCGCCAGCATGGGTGGTGTTGTCTTTGGTTTTCGGGGTGAGTTCCTGTATTTGTCAGGTGTCTCAGTTTTTTGTCCACATCATTGGCTGTTGGTTTTGAGATCCACAAGTTACGAGGAGAGCCAGCATGGGAACAACTCGTATGTGCCCGCACCCAGCTTGCTAGTCCGTAGCATCGGAAGAGGAACAGAAACCACCGTTCGGTGATTTCTATGGCACGAACATGAATGGCCAACAAAAGATGGTTCTGCCCAGATGCTCCGAATCCGTTGGTCCCTCAAAAACCGACAAAGCCGGGATTGCTTCGGCGAAACGGACACCCGAATACAGGGTCGCGTCTACATGAAAAAGATCATAGTTGCTCCTAGAATCTATAGAAACAAATGGTCTGAGACAGTCTCACCATGTTCACCTAGTCTCACCGTCCCTGTAGCTATTCAAGGATCAGTATACAGAAGATGGGGGCCAAACGAGGTCAAAACCCACCGTCCCACCATGATCTCACCACCGGACCGCGACGACTTCGGACGGAGGTGATGGAGGTGGACCCGGGTGGAGCAATGTGGAATCATTAAGACACCCCCAGCGATTTGGATGGTAAAACCATATATAAAACCTCTTCAGGTTTGGGGGGGGTTGTCAATGAAGATTCTGCATTAAGGCACATCTGGGATCGAAGACTGGCGAGCTCGAAGACGGGGTCGCGTGACCCTCCGTCGGACGACGCGACGTGACCCACGTGAAGATCTGAAGAAGCAGGACAGCGGCGCGGTAAATTTCTTTTTGTTGACCTGGCAACTGCGGTGGGATGACCACCTAGATCCTCCAGTTCGTAACTTAGAATATGGGACATGAGCCTATAAACATAGGTACTTTGATGTTTTGGGGCATGCCCACGGCTGGGCAAAGGAGCATGGGTCCACGCAATCTTTTGTGACATCCCCAATCCCAAACACGCATAATGTGATTCCTGATCAGGAGTGGTTTCAAACGGGGTATTTACGGTAAATACCTGGTACCGAGCTCGATTGCTTCTTTTTGTGTCAGTGCAGTTCAACTTGATCGATCGGTCTGTGAACCACACGATCACATCCTCCGAAATCAACATCGAAAATGCACGAAAACGGGTGGCCAAATGCCTGTGGCTCACCAATCAACGCCCGTAGTTGGTGCATACACGCCCGTGAAATATCAAACAAGAGACACATGCGCAGACTCAAGTACAAGTACGGCAATGACTCCAAAAGATGTGTCTCATGCCGCAACAGCAAACAAAAAAACACACTGCATGAAGACGAAGTGCTGCTCCATTTCGCTGTAAATTGATGCTGGATTGGATTAACACGTGAACTACAAACATATTCAACACACATATTCAGTCTGGAATATCGGAATATCTCGGAATCACATGGAACTGTATGATACTGGATTCAAGGACAGTCGTTTTCCCAATACATTGGGGACTGGTGTCCCCCAAAGGCCTGTACTCCGCATCCAGGCGATCGGCACCTTGTAATTACTCATCCTCCCTAGCAGGTCTCCTGATCCTTCGAGGCTTGGGGGGGGAGGGTGTACAGGTACAGGTCGATCCAGTGGTGTGACCGGTCTCGATCCATTGGTGTGACCGGTGCGGATTTGCCACGGTGATTTTCGGATGAATGTCACGAGTCTCCACCGACGGAACGGTTGTATACAGGGCTGTGTAGGGGCTGGGCTGGCTGAGCTGCTCAGCCAAGACCACTCCTTAGGGCTTCTACTTCGAGTGCCACTTGGCTCTTGGCTCAGGGTCACTCTCTTGATCAAGTTTGCACTTCGCACTTCGCACTGATTGGATGTATTTACGTATATAATTACTTCCTGGAACCCCAAACAACCAGAAACAAATGGTTGTTCCAATATGGCAATTGAACTCCTTTACATAGGAAATGGCTGGGACTGGGGAGTTCCATCCATTTCTTTCTGGTTGTTGGACTTTCGACGAAGCGAACTGGGAGGTTCAACGAATCAGTTTCTACCTGCGAATGTCCTGGTCAAACCTTCTGCACTCCTTTATTTCTCGCTGTCTGTGACCGTAGCCAGCGTTGCTTTTGCACTCCACTCATGTCAACAAGGCTTATGTAATGTTATATAACAACCCTCCATCTAGGGAGCCAAACCGCAAATCAGAGTCAGGTTGGAGTAAAGGACCCCCCCGAGCAAAAGCATAGTTGGGTCTTTCTACTGACTGCGCATACGTTCCTCGGGGGGTCTATACATGCACCCAACTTCAGTCGACTTGGTCTACGCCGTTGCGAACCAAGCCAAGCGCCACGGCCCGAAGTAACACCTTTCGACGCACCTTCTTGATGTGCGAGACGGCCTTTTCTTGGAGGAAGCTCAGCCTCAAACACTCAGGTGAAAGGTTTGTCTGCACTCAGAATGGAATTGTCTTGAAAGAAAGAACAAGAGTCATTGTGGAGCTTCACCGTCTTTCTTTCCGTTTGGCGGAAGAGATGTTCCGTGTGTGATCGTTTTTTTCAACTGGATGGCTTTGAGACGTTCAGATTTAAACTCTGGGAAAATCATATCTGAAACCACCAAATGTATCCAGATGTAAATAAGTACTTGAGGTCCATTTCACCCTTAAAAACCTGAGGGTCATTTCGCCATCTTTCGCCTCTGATCGTTGGATCTTCGGTAAGGCTGATGTCCTCTTTACCCACCCGGAGCAAAATACCACTCGATCTTGTTGTTGTTGTTGTTGCTGTTGTTGTTGTTGTCGTCGTCGTCAACGTTGTTATCCTTTGCTGGCAAATGATCGCTCGTGACCCTCGTGTCTGATCAAGTGTTTCCCCTGCCTCAGACTTTGAGTCATATCATCACACCTAAATCTAAAATAATCTAAATAAGTCAGTATATGTCAGTATGCATTAAATCATCCATTCGCGGCCTCCTGTTTCCCGGCACATCAACGGCAGGTCACCGCAAACCATGAATCAGATTGGTCGATCTCTTTTCGTCCGACATGCAGTGGACTGATGTGGGTCAGAAGCGAATGGAACTTCTGTGAGATTTACACCCTAGGGATCCAGTCGTACCTTCTCAGAGGGTACTTGGACCCTCCAAACCTACATAGCAGTGTCTCCAATCACCTTCTGAGAAGGTACTTGGATCCCTAGGGACATGGAACCCTAAAACCACTGGGTTCATCTTGGGAACCGGAAACCATTCTCGGGGTCACCGGTGAGACTGGAAGCTCCTAGAGGTCGACAAGATCCCACGTCGACTCCTGTCGACTCCGGATCGACTGACTGTCGACTCCGGTCGACCTCGGATGGTCCAGGTTTCCACACAAGAGGAGGTGCAAACATGAGTTGCTGGTGACGTGATTGCAAGCCTCAATCTCCAAACAAAGTCCTGTCCCTTTAAAGTTCCAAATGCGGGGTGGAGAGCAGGGTCGACTCGCCCCATCTGACCCCCGTTTGGCAGGAGTTGTTCGGCCCACCGGAATGACCATTGATAGCCCATTCAAGTGGAACCGTGGCCGCAGGGCAACTCATCATGCAGTCATAGAGTTCTGTTGAAAGAGGAGTAAAGAACATATTACCCACACACTCCATGTATTACATACCGTATTTGCTCACATTGGAGCGGCTTGAGGGGTCAATGTAGGCATATATTCCATTCATGGAGTGTCTGGGTTAGACATAAAAACAAACATACGTAATACAGCATAGCATAAGGACCATCAACCCTCTGGATTGGTATGTTTTTACTTAACATCGGTCTCCATTGTCTCCAGCAAGCATGGCATCCCGGCAAGCGATGGCCAACCATCCAACCAGGAGTCTGGCATGGAGTCGGGCGGTTGTTGGTCAACAAGTGCTCAGGGATACACCCAAATCGCCTCCTGCAAGAGCCTAGATGAAGTTGCTAGCTATGTCCTGACTGCATCCATTGTAACCTCCAGCGAAAGTAAGGGCAAGTAGATGAAACATTATTACTGTAAGTGGGCTCACCGTTAAACCCCCTTCGACCCCGCAGAAAGCGCTTCACAAATACCACTTGCTGACCGGCTGCAGCTCGGCAGAACTGAGGAGTACGTGTTAGGTTAACAACACCATGATAATGCTGATTCCCCAACACTTTTGACTAAAAGCACAAAAGATCACACATGGCATCGTTGTGACAACGTATCAACGCAACATCTTTTGTATGTTAGCCAGTTACGTCTTGGAGGATAGTCTTGGAGGTGAAAGTACTTCCAAAGCAAAGTCTTTTGGAACCGAAGGACATCCAAGAAGGGTTGGAATGTCCTGGATCCTTAGGGGTTAATATGGGACATGACCCTATAAAGAAGTAAAGACACAAAAACTGTACTCTGAAGGGTCCAGGTACGATTCATTCGTTCATTCCGCCAAAAAACATGCAGCAAATGAAAGAAACAAATCCAGTGCTTTGACTCGGTTGCCAGCCTGTATGATTAAAAAACATCGATGGAGACCGAAGCAATTGTTCAATACCCATCAATACCCTAGGACCTAGGAGATGAATTGCAAACTGCTTTGTTCCTTGTCATTAATTATCGTTCATCGCGCAGAAACTACATAAATAACCCCCAATCAAAAGGAAAGAACTGTGGTTCCCCTTCAAATGACAATGGAACAAACCCTTTGGACACAAATGACCTCTCCATCTGGAGTTCTCTCTCCCCCCCACTGGGCCTCGTTGCTGAGATGAACAGTGTTGGCCTGGCATGAGGCACTATCACCATGGGGCACTGGGCGCGGAATCCGGGGTCAGCACTGAGCTCTTAACCATTGGCCACTTGGACCACTTCATACCACTTCCCCCAAAAAGAGTTACTAGGGGTTGCCACGGAAGGAACGTCTATAGTAACACACAGCAAGTAGTTCCCAGATGAGCTGTTCAACTCGTTCATTATTTAAGGAAAAATAGGACGAACACCTATGAACACCTGATGATTTTTTACTGGTTTCCATCAAAGGCTAATCAGGGCCATATTGCTGTCAGGGTCAGTCTTATATTGCTGTCTTCAGGTTCCATATTGAAGATAAACCACAACCAAACCGCTGGCAGCAACTGATGTGACATGAGCCAGCCATGATCCCACATCAAGTTGTGGCTATCTCCAAAATTGTCCGATGTTTGCTTGAACATGATCTATATATAGTCTCTATGCTTTGTCGCCCCATCTTACCATCTAGTCTAGGTCTAGGTGTCCTTTTCAATCCTTTTTCTTTCACCCGTTCCATTGCCAGCAAGACCTGCCAGGTCTTGCCCACACCTCCACATAATCACTCTCCGGAGGAAGCATGGGCGGTAGGTCCTGCAACTGCTTGGTGCAGCTCGGACCGGGGTCTGGAAACCTGGACCCAAACCCGGCGCAGCCGATATGGAGAAGGTTTGGAGAAGGCCGGTATGGACTTCAAAGAACCATCTGGATCCGTAACCTACCTGGTTCTTTAAAATAACCATCTGATATTCTGGTTTGAGATCACTTAGGCTGTAAACCTATTTTTGGGGGAAGGTCACTTTTAGGGACTCCAAAAGGGCCACCTTGAAGAAGAAACTGGCAAGAAAAAACACGATGTCCTTGGATTCACTGAATTCTAAAACTGCCAACCATAAACTTGGCGTCTGTGAGTTGCAAGTTCGTCAGACTCAACGATAGTATTTGGGAAAACGGGCACAATTTTCGATTCTATTATATCTTTGGAGGGTCTAGGTACTTGAACATGCTGCTCATCCCGCTTCTAGACCCAATGTGCGTTCCGGACGTTTATGGCTGTCCCGGCTGCATTATTAAGGCTGGAACAGCAACCTCGCTGTGCCGGGCGTCAAAATGCTTGTGACTTACGAGACCATTTACAACTGTTTCAGGAAACCTTCTCCTTGCATATGTCATGAGCAATACAAAAGACCAAGCTCCTGCAGGCTACAGGAAACCTTCACCCCAACAATCCATGGAATATTTACCTATTGTCCCTTAAACAAAACTCAAGCCACCACAAATGTAGGCAGATATTCCCGTCCCAGTAGATTGTCGTGTAGATGATCACCACAGGGGAAGATCCTGCACAAAGCATTGAAACAATTTTGCGCCACAGCCTCCAGGCAGCTGGCGTCTTCTCCACGCACAAGCTTCGAAGGCTGACCAGCGAAGGCTGCGTAGCGACCAAGAGCAGGTCCAACCCATCAACCTCACTCGTGCTGAATATGGGCCGAGACAAGAATTGGAACAACGGCATAGAAAGCCCATTCACCACGGACATGCCGAGCAAGCAAACATCCAAGCCCTGTGCAACCTCTTCCGCATTGAATGCGCAGGGCAAAACAACATCCTGGGCATCCAGATCAGCGTCAGATGCTAGCTTGCACTCGCCGATGAGGCTGCCGATCCCGCTCTCTGCAATTGCCACCTGGCCTCTGTAGCAAGTCGGCTTGCCAGGCTTGCCATGCAGCCCCCCAGACTTTCTCCATGCGTAAGCATGGCCGCCCAAGGCTGCTTGACAACTATGGCCTTGAGGGAGGCCTTGTCAATTTGTGCCCGCGCTTTGCCACTTGACCCGCGCCGGTTTTGCCAAAATGTTGCCGTTGGCTTTCAAAGTATCTTCCCAGCATGCTACCATGTCTTCCTGTCTAGATTTTAGGGTTTGACTGACTGCGCCCGTTTGACACAAAGTTGAAGCTAAGACCATCCTCATACCTTCCAAGCATCTTGGCATTATACATTTTCCATATATTTCCATGCTATACGACAAAGGGTCCTTCTTATCAGAACGACGAGAACGTTTTTCACTGCCGTCAAGGAGAAGGCTCGCCCGGCCAAATTGGAGGAGATCGCTGCTGAGATTGATTCGATTCTCAGCAACCTCAAGGCCGACCGATTGGACACCCCCAATCTCTGCCGCCTGGTCATTGCCTGGGGATGCAGATCCCTCCCTGGCACAAAAAGCCCACCAGAACGTGCTTGTTCGCCTGCGTTGGCGGTTGGTTGCTTGATGGTTCCTACACCATCACCCAGCGGAATTTTGTGACCACGACCATTTTTCAAGGCTCCTACTTGTTACAGTTACCATCCCTCTCGGTAGGTCCGAAAACACGCCCACCTGGAAGTCGGCGGCGCAGTGAAAGTGAAGAGCACCAGCGAGATTGGCGTCATCCAGGCCAAGGCAGGCTCAGGCATGAGTATGCAACATCTTGAATCACGCGACACAGCTGCGTCGTGAGCTGTTCTCTGAAGCGACTGGTTGATGTCATTAGCCGTTGCCCACGTGACAGTTGCATAAGCCGTCGGCTTGGCAGCTTTCTGACACAGGGCATGGAACAGGTCATGCTGCGGAGGACCTTTCGTCATGATGTTCTATTTCATCGCTGTCTGCTGTCTTGATTGTTACTTGAATGGTCTCTGACTTGGCCAGTCTTTTGCCGGACTGCGTAGGACAGAAATGGAGGGGCATCAAGTTTTTCACTCCCATATCCCAGCCGCGAGGGCGCTTTCCAAGTAGTGGGAAGTGGGCAAGGCATTGCTCCAAGAGGTGCTGCCGCGACACAGTGTTGAAGGCGTTCTTGAAGTCAAGCTGCAGTGCCACCTTTTTTGGAGTCGGGTGGCTGACGCTCATGCGCCCAGCCTCAACACCACCCGGCGCAGCCACACCTGCTTGGGTTGGCCAAAAGTAGCGGGCGGCGTGCTCCTTAACCAAATTCATGAAGCATTTCCCAGTCAAGCGACGAAGCACTTCGCCAACGGCGATTGGTCGGACACAGCAACCAAGGAGGCACCAGCCACAGCAGCAGCACAGGCACCGCCTTGCCCGAGCAAGTTCAGGACTGCTGTGAGCTGCTGGAAGAAGCCGTCGGCTTGTCCAGGCACCCCTGCCTCAAGGAGGTGGTGCGCGGGCCGAAGCTTTGGAGCATCCGGCACAAGTTCCGGGGCAGGGGGAAGGTGGTGGCGCTCCGGCACGGTGGGGGAGGGCTGCGAGGGGTGAAGGGCTTGCAGGGCAGCAGCCGTCTCAGAGGTGGTAGGGGCAAGGCCGCGGGAGAGAGGGCAGCACAGGCTTTGCAGTCACAGCCCTCGCGGGCGAGGCTGGTAGCCAGGTCCCGTTGTTGCTCTGCAGTGGGAGGGCGCCCGGTGCTGGCAGGGGAGGGTGGCGCAGTGGCCATCACCCACAGCGCCCACACCACGAGCAGCAGCGAAGCGTTCGGGTAGTTGTTGAAAGGGTAGGCCGCCGCCCACCTCACAGTTTTCCACCCGTACTTCACCGCTCCCACCACCGGGATGTACCTGCTCGCAGTGTAGAACGCTGCTCCCAGCGTCTCCAGGGTTTTGGTCACAAACCCAGGACCCCCCGCCGTGGGAATTTCCGGCGCATCTCTGCCAGCCAAGCTGGGCAGTGGGATCGACCTGTTCGTTGCTGCTTGGGTCGCGGCAGCATGAGCTGCGCGGTTACCGGCCAAGGTCGCTGGAGCGTACTTGCCAACCGCCAACACTGCTCTGGCCCCATTGCCCCAGTCCAAAGACAAGATCTTTGGCTCTGTCCAGGCGATCTTCCACGCTCTTTTGAACCATCGCGCTTGTAGCTGCGGGCACTGCCTTGATGAGGTTGGCCATCGCCAGATACACATCTGGAAAATTTCTCTTTGTGGCCAAAAGACCAGATTCCAGCATGTCCTCCACTGCGAGTTTTGCGTCCCTTGGGCTCGCAATTCGCGCGTGAGGAGCCGGCTTTCCCACACCTGCCTGTAGCGGGTGTGGTCTTCTGATGTAGAGGGCCTGGGTTGCCGAGTGCAAAAGCCTCCTGAGGAACACCGCCTCTTTCGTGTCTGCCTGGAGCGCGGTGGAGATCGGTGCCAGACGCTTCTCGATCGCAGAAACCGTGGCATCCAGAGCTGCCAACGCAAGCTCCTTGAAGGGATATCTGTTCGCTGCGAAATCGTTGATTTCTGAGCGAAACTCTTCGCTGGCCAGCGCGTAATGGCTGAGTCTTGCCAGAAAGAGCGCCTCGAAAACGTGTGGCCCATCATGCGCAGACGAAGCTTTGAGGGCGGCGGAAATCTGAGCGCTCGCTGTCGGGTAACCACATAGGTGTCCTTTTGGACTTGGATTTATGGAAATAGACAGGGCGCCTGGGTTCCCTCAAATTGACATCAAACACTCTATGCTTGACACGCAAAGAGCTCTTATTTCCACTGGCACGAGCCCGCTGGAGGCCGCACGCGAGAGAACACTTAGATATCATGCCTTAAGGAAGTCTCAAGCCAGAAGTGGTGATGAAAGCGGTCGCTTTGAATGTTGTTTTTTGAGATTTCCCCACGGGAGCTTGAAAGAGAGAGCGCCTGGGTTTGTGGATCTCGGGTTTTGAGAGGGTCTTCACTAACTTGACATTTCTTTGCGAGTCCGAGGGGGTTGCAGCCAAACCTTTGTTTTCTGAGTTCCTTGGCTTGACAAGTATGGCATGTATTCCTTGGTAGCCTTTTCAGAACAGTCGTTTTGAACCTCAGTTTTGCTTCAATGTTTCAATCTCGGCGAGTTTCTTCACGAGATGGTGAGGTTTATGTGTGGTGGGGCCTG